CGGAGACGAAGTAGCGAGCAATAACTTTAATAAGCAAGCGTTTGCCTACTGTCCCATTTTATGGTAAGCCTCCTAGATTCCTATTTTTTCATACCAATATAGAAGGCTAACCGGTAAGGGTGTGTGTATAGTGTGTATGGTGTATAGTGACCGTGCTGGTGCCGGCGGTGACGATGGTCTTGTCGCTGGGGCAGACGGCGGCGACGAGCTCCCCGCAGGCGTGCGCAGCAGCCTCGCTGACGAAGACGGCGCGCTCGCTGTCGTAGTTGCCGATGCGCAGGCTGTGGTCGGCGAAGCCCCACGCCACGTACTTGCTGTACGTCGGCGGCATCAGCACCTTGTTCTGCTCCACCGCCAGGATCGCCTTCTCCGTGTACAGGATCTGGCCCACGGGACCCTTCACCTCTACAACATATTATATGAATTGTATTGCTAAACGCTTTTAAAATTTTCACATCTACGGCTATATAAACCGTAGTTCAACGTATATTTTATTCAACCTAGATAAAAAATAGAATTGTTGAAGTAATTATCATTTAGTTCGAATCAATTCGTTAAAAATTTAAGATTTTCATATAAAAGTTCAGTATCGATAAAAAAATACAACAATAAAATGACATTAACAATACATACCTTTTACAGGCTGCAGAGATGGTCTCAAATTCTCCAAATTATGGAAGAACAGTTTCTCCGGCGGCGTTATACCTTGTGAAGGTATAATATTGTTGGGGTCCAGTATTGTAGAACTGCGCTGGGACATTTTCTTGCTCGGGTGCGCTTTCTTGAACAACTGTTTCGGTATTTGTCCAAAGTTATTTATGAAGCCAATCGTTGCATTCTTCTTCAGCGGGTCGTCGATACTGAAAATGTTACATTAATAAATTATTACAGACTAGTTGTTGCTCGCGACTTCGTTGGCGTTAAATTAAATTAAATTGATAACGTAACTTTTTAATGGTGAAAGAGTTTTTGAAACCGGTACAGTAATTTTTGAGTTATTTCAATATATACAAAAATACAAAGCTTTCCCCTTAATAATATCAGTATAGAAAACAATAATATTCTTCTTACTTATAGTATAAAGTGACAAAAGAACTAGACGCCTCCAGAATTTACCATAATAGTGAAGTGGTCACTACTTACTATCATTGGCATTTTCTGATGTTTGTCTTACCTTTACTCAATAGAGAAGGGGACGTATTGAAAGTGGACATATCCCTTCTCCTAGAGTAGTAAAATGATAGCGAGGTTGCGCACTAACTTGTATATATCGACGTTGCCCTCGTAGAAGAGGTGGTGGAAGACGTTGCAGGCGTCGACGGCGGGCTGGCCCTGCTGCTTGTGGCCGAACACGAGGTCTATCCAGTGGTGCAGGCGGTGCGACACGTAGTCGCACTCGAGCGCGGCGCGGTGCAGGCGGATGAACTCGCGCGGGCAGCCGCGCGCCCACGCCGGCAGCACCACGTCGCCCAGCGGCACGCCGGACTGCTTGCAGCCTGCGTACGGATATATTAAGTCTCTTATTAATGGGACAAGTGGTTTTTATCATTTCTAATAAAAGCCACCCTGTTATATATCTCTCGCCTCTAATAATATCGCTGATATTTCAAGCATATAAATTACTAGATGTTGTACGCGACTTTGTCCGCGTGAAGTGAAAAATAATAAAATAATGTTAGCTTATGTTAGTCACAGATAAATTACCCTTCTATAGGTGAAAGAATTTTTAAAATCACCCCAGTTTTTACGAGAGTCAAATACATACAAAAATACACATGTTTCCTCTGCATAATATAAGTGTAGATGTACTATTTAATATTGGTCTTTTTTAATAAGAATCATAAAATAAAAATATTTTGATAACACTATAGAATTAATAAAAAAATTATAGAATGCATTTATTTTACAAAAAAATCATAAAGCTATAGGTAATTTGAAAAGAATAACAGTAGCTACCTAAATCGAAGTTATTCGAGTTGAGTAAAAACTCTGGCAAGTAGAAAAACTCCGGTATCAATTCCTTGACGTCAGCCATGTTGTGCCGGGATGCTGAATTCCATGCTTCTTTTATAGAGTGAAACATTCTGAAAATAAAAAATAAAAAACTAATAATTTCCCCTTTGGACAAGTGGCTGTTCCCCTTTGGACAAGTACCTGAAGTCCAAACTGCGGTGGTACCCTGTATGATGGATCACAGGTCCCCGTCCCACAAACCACAAAGAAACTGATCACAAAACATTATTTATTTTACCTAGGAGCAGTGATTTATTGTTTTCCGGGGTTAGGAGTGGTAGTACCTGTCAGCGAGGTCAAAGTGCCCCCCCTGCAGACGCAGGAAGTGCTGCGTGAAGGGCTCCATGCGCACCAGGTAGGAGCACACGATCATGGCGGAGGAGTAGTGCGTGCCGTAGTGGTAGGGCGGCGTCTCCCCGTGCGGGTCGTCCCATTCCTATACACATACATTACATTTATCATAAAAATTAAATATATTTCCATAATTAAAATGAAATGAAAGTCATAAAGAAACTAGTATTGATAAACATCTAGTGTCTGTAAAACAAAAATACTGGCCACGATCCATCGAAGTAGGACCGTGATCAGTTTAAGTAAAAGGCATAAATGTTGAGGATAGTCTGGAAGAACACTTAGGCTACTTGTTTTTGTTATTTTAATACCACGCGGAGGGAGTCGCGTAAGAAAGCTAGTGTTATATATACTAAAAGAGAAATGTTCTGGACTGGTTACTATTTGGAGAATATTAAAAGAATAGCCAAAAAAACTGTCTAAAACATGTCAAATGACCTTATAAAATGTCGTTTGTACTAATTTAAATAGATGACCTTGTATCTTTTCCTAAACTGGTCCAATCTGTCAGCGCTCTGAGCGCCCATGGGCTTGGTGAGGTCGCGAAAGGTGGCGGGGTCGGTGAGGTCCAGCTCCGGCGAGTCGTAGTCCGCCAGGATCCAGGGGAACACGGGGTACTGCATCAGGTCGTTGTACGATCTCCCGGCTAAAGTGTTCAAGTGCATCAAGTATTGGAAGTTGGAAATTTCTCCTCTCTGAAATAAATACAATAATATTTATTAACGTACTAGCTGTTTCTAAATAACATAGCTCTTTAATGGTGCAAGAATTTTTGAAATCGGATCAGTAGTTTTTGAGTTATTTCAATACATAGAAAATTCCTAAAACACAAATCTTTTCTCTTTAGAATGTTAGTATAGACATACGTTGTAACATTTGTTTTTTTCAATTCCGATTACAGTTGAATTACCTTAGTAAGATATTAATGCTATAAAGTTTTAGAAATACTTAAAAATCTTTACTTTTGGCGAATTTATACTTATTTTAATTGATCGTAGAACGTTCTTTCGTCAATAGTAATACTTATATCTGAGAAATATATTTGTTAATGACATTGTGGTGTATTACCAGCCAGCGCTGCGTGACGGAGGTGTCGCCTATGAGCGAGGCGAGCAGGCCGGCGGGCTGCTCCACGGCCACGCCGCGCCGCTGCCCCGCCACCGAGCCCGCCGCGCTGTCCGCCATGCCCGTCGCCAGCGCGGTGAACCGGCTGTACACCTGGCAACACAACACAACACATTAAAAGTTCAATTAAACATTACGGGTCTGTCCCACCACTGGCTGATAGAGGCTCAGATAGCTTGAAAATAACGACACTGTCAGATAAGGTAACAAAATCCGATTGTAGTGGACAGTATGATAAAATAAAAACTTCTTCTCGGAGATACTAACGCCTTTATTGCTAACAAAATACTGGACATCAAATATGTTTAATATAGACTATTTATACTATTTCGCCGCGACCCCAATAAATGCTGCCTCGTGCCATGATTTTATTAGTTACTGTTAAATCAAAGACACCGCGTCCTTCGCCGCGCGCTGCCAAAGGATGCCGCCCTTAGGCGGCGCGCGGCGACAGTGCGGCCGCGGTCATCCGAGGTTACACGTGCCGCGAGGTGCATCCAAGGGCGGCACGTGTAACAGCGAGTAGGCACAACATTTACGTCGCCAACACCGATATTTTACACGTTGTATTGTTATCAATTTACAATTTGGTGAGACAGACCCTAAAGATTTCAAATCATTGTTTTATCAGGAAGGATGTGATCCTGCTGATTGCATTATCATCATTAGCACACTATACGTTTAAGTTAAGTGGGACTAGGCCATAGTCAACCATGGCCCACTGCTGGTCGACTACACACATATTTTTAATATGCATATATACAAGTTGTATTATGATGTTTGTTCTCATCGTCTTACTAGTGATGGTAGAACTGTTAATTTACTTATCCTCGAATCGAAAAAAGTAATTCATTCGACAAATATATCATTTATGATATTTACCTTATTTCGTACTTTTCTTGGAAAAGCCAGTAAATAATTTCGTCCATCACTTGAGAATACTTCCAGTGCGATCGGTTGCAATAGATATCGTCTCTTGTGTACCTCCCTGAAAAATGTAAATAAAACAACATCAAACGGTGTTATCATAACACAGAGTCCCTTAATAGTTACTTAAGAAGTCCTTATTATAGATTTTTCTAACTCAATCGGGCAACTTTTGCGATGATTTACAAAGTAACCCAAAGTTATATTAATCGAGTTATTTACCTTATATCTTCATACAAAAACTTGGAGCATTGTCTCTGGTTGCTCCTCTGTATGCCCTGGCTAGGCAGGATGGGCTCGTAGTCATCAGGGCAGCTGTCCAGGTCCCGTATCTCCCTGTTCTTGAGCAGCGTGAAGCCGTCGATGACGTAGCAGTGCTCGCGACCGAACAGCAACAACCCCTCCGTAGTGTCCAGACCTTGTATACGAGCACATCTGAACATGTGTGAGATCTGAAATCATCATTTTACGTTGTTTTTGGTTATAAACATTAATAATAAAGTTTTTTTTTGTGACTGAATGGCCACTGTTTGCCTTGAAGAGGCATTTACAGATTCACCGGGCTTGACGCGGCCGAGCGCAGATGGCGCTTAGCCTAAACCTCGTTTATGAGTAACCAAGCTCGAGGGCTCCCTCAGGAGCCTCAGCATGAGCTGCTACTTCGTTATTATTACCGGATTGAGAGGCCACCGAGTTTTCTATAAATGTAAATGTTAACTTACTAGTGTAGTTATCGAGTAAGAAATGAATATACCTTTTCATGATGCTCCAACAATCGTAGGAGAGTCTGATTGTCCGGCGGCGGTGATTGTTGTTCGTCTTCATCTTCGACATCTGGGCCATCTTCATTCCCTGGAAATTAAAAATGTTCTTTTACTATTGTTGGCGACGTAATTGCTATGCCTACTCGCTGTTACACGTGCCGCCCTTGAATGCACTTCGCGGCACGTGTAACCTCGGATGACCGCGGCCGCCCTGTCGTCGCGCGCCGCCGAAGGGCGGCATCCTTTGATGTTTCTTTGGCAGCGCGCGGCGAAGGACGCGGTCTCTTTGATTTAACAACAACTAATAAAATCATGGCACGAGGCAGCAGTTATTGAGGTCGCGGCAAAATATAAATAGACAATATTTAACTTATTTGATGTCCAGTATCTTGGTAGCAATAAAGGCGTCAGTATCTCCGAGAAGAAGTTTTTATTTTAACATACAGTCCACTACAACTATTATCTTTAAAAAAATACTCCCGCCAAAATCGGCCCAACCGTTGTAGAGTTTACCGGAATACGAAATGTTCAATATTACATACAAACATTCAGATTTTATTATATGTATCTATAAATGTACCTTCACCAGAGGTGCTGTTACTGCCGCGGCTGACGACGCCGCTGCTCACCAGGTCTGAAGGCGAGCCTTCCTCGTTGCTCACCTCTAGGGACGTGTCTCTATTACTGGAAATATCAAAGATTACACCGATCAATAACAAAATAAATAAATAATTTTATCAAATCGAAATATTAAAAACAGATAGCAAATGTATTTGGTTAATTATTTAAAATGGACAGGAAAACATTGTTTAACTAAATTGAAAGGAAAATCTTAGTACTTTAGAGAGAAATAAAGGAAATGTTAAGTAATTGAACTCACTTTGTAATTTCCTCTTTATACATATCAATATCTGATATTTCAATGCAGTCAGTTTCGCCCAGGCTGTTGCCCGCTGTCCGCCATTGCTGGTACACTCTGTAGTACTCTTTGCTGTCTAGACTCTGTGCTACTTTATACTTCAGTTGTTTCTGGAAATAAAATAAACTGTACTGTAGTTTTTTATCTGAACATTAAAATATCTGATTTATTCCGTCAGATATTTACTATCGCAATTAGTTACCGAGATCCGTAGTATACCAACTGCATAATGTAGCAAATAACGCCGAAATTTACACATAATTGTGGTTATATGAAGTGAATCAGTTTGTAAAAGCATTATCCTGGTTTGGTCCTTCAAGCCGAAGACGTCTTACTAAAAGTCCACTAAATAACTACTAATGTTATTGTTTCACACTAAACATGAACATATCATTTGTAAGGGAAGTCCTTGGCTTTTTGAAGACAGGAATCCTAGTTACAGAGCTAATGCAACAATGATTGATGTAATTGTACTTAGTGTGCAAT